TACTGTTCGCCTGAGAGTTTTATGTAGTAATTCCCATTTGGATTAAGCGTTTTCTATAATTAATATATATGAATTCATAAAAAATCTAATTGATCATACCGATGTATTATTATAACACTCCGTTATGTGAAATAATAAAGATATTTTCAAATCTTCTTCCTTTAGAAATAACCGAAGCGATGGTATATTAAGGAAGACAAATTCAATATCGGCATTCTAGTTCGAAGTTCATGGTATCATTGTCAAAGGGTCGAAGTTAGTGTTCTTGCTACGATATGGATGTTCTATGAAACTGAATTAAGATGCAGTACTATGTCTTGTCAAAGGTACAAGGAAAGTGATTTAACTATTCCTCGGTATGCTTTGAAGTACATTTTAAATGGTCACTAGAATTACATAAACTTGTGTTCAAATACATTGCTTTATTGTATTGATAAGATGAGATCGCTCAACAGATTCTATGTATAGGGAATGAATAAACAATAAATTCGTTAATTCAACTATTAAATCTATAATATTTTAATATCATCCTTGTTCCATACAAATTTATTTCGACCCTAAAATCTTTTGAATAATTTTCATCTCATCTTATCATTTAATTTACGTAAGTATATTTTAGATTTATGCAAGATGTTATTGCGCTTTCAAAGAATCAGTATAGTTTCCCTATTTGGCCTAGCCTATATGTAACATATATAACATATATATATATATTTATATATATATATATATATATATATATATATATATATATATATACGGGAGTAGAAACTATAATAGAAACGGCACATTGTGCTTCTGTTACGAAGCAATCTTGTGTACCAAACCGTCTGTCGGACTAATTGCTCTCGACCCTTTTAGTCCAAGGCTATGCCGGATTTTCCTCAATGAGAGCTTTTTAGCTCGGATATCGAAAACATCGATTCTTTGAAAAGAAATATTATGACTACTACGTGTGTACGATTAATCTATAAAATGCATACTTCATTAAACGCATTCTTTCAAGTATTTACAAAATTCCCTTTTATATCGAATAGCTCACTTTATTAATATCTCTTTTTCTCTTAACTGCAGGTGAAAGAAAAATATGGTGAAACAATTCGATAAAAAAAAAGTAGGATCATAAGCAACTTAGTAAAATTATAATCATTCTTCGATTACCTCGAACGAACCTTCGTACTTTATTTTTAATTTAGATTCTGAGTTATATACGATAGTTTGCTTTTCATATGGAAAACGTAGTATGGAAAAGTAAACATGATAGAAGTTTATCTTAAATATGGTAAAAAACTAGGGTAAGCTTATACATTAAGCTCTTACGCATTTACTCACGTTAATAATTCAAGATTAATAGAATATCTATAAAAACGTATCATCAACTAATAAACAGGATTATCTATGTATATTATTCGTTCTCTGATTTGTTATTCTCATATCGACGGATACATGTTTACATAATGTCACGTAGACACTATTTTCGAATCGACCTCATCGATACATAGCAAACATCCTCTTTGCTTCCAATATTAACATCGCATACAGAACTAAAAGCGATCTATCACCTTTATTAAGAACGTTATAAGCATGTTGGATGCAAAACCTTATTTATTAGATATACCTAGTTTACATGATGAAAGAATAAAAAAAAAAAGAAAAAGAGAGAGAGAGAGAGAGAAAGAAGATTCATGGAAAAAGGTAAATATAAATTTTACCTATTAAATATTTCAAAGCGTATTTACAACATTGATGATCGATTAGCGAATGGAAAAAAGAAAACAAAAAAAGAAAAGACAGATGCACCGACGTTAACGAAGATCTTTAAAAAGCACGTCAATTTTGTTTATATTTTTACAAGGACGTCGTCTTTAAGATGAGAGTTCACATTTAAAAAAAAAAAAAACTCGTCAACTTGGTTATACAGGACGAAAATAATAGAAATAAAAAGACGAGTACTGTCTTGTGTTGCCTCGATACGAAATTAATTATTTAATACATAAGAAATTAAAAGTTAGTCGCTCGATATGGTTAGCGAGAAATCGAAGCCGAAAGTCGGTCAGCAATGGTTCTCGTGGAACGCATTAAAAGCGCGAAAAAAACTGGTCAGATATGTAGTAATTATTCGATTTTTTCCTTATGCTCATACAAACGAATGAAAATTTTAAGATAAGCGTATTCATCGTTAAGGAAAACGACAATTTTTGAAAATCCTACTACTTCGAGATTAATCAAAAATTTTTTCTTTTTTTACTCTTTCTCTTTCTCTCTCTCTCTCTCTCTCTCTCCCTCTCTCTCTCTTTCACTCTTTCTCCCTCTCTTTCTCTTTTTTATTTTCTTTCTTTCTTTCTTTTCTATTCTTTGTTAACAAAAAATTCCGAGACACATGTTAGGTGATACTATCGTTGGTAGATGTATGCCTACATACGTACATACGTAATATGTATATATGTACATACCTATATATGTATGATTTATGTACGTGAAATCCTTTCAAAGCCTTCCAACATACTGAAACATTAATCATTCGACTCTTCTCTTTCTCCCAGACATTCGAGAGTAAAGCCACCGGCGACATCGTGGCATTTTGCTCACGCTCTAATTTAAATATTTTCGCTCAGCCCTTTAAATTCATCTTTCTATACCTAGACGTCTTTGTATGAGAATATACGGGCGGTAATATATATTTTGCAAAATTCGTCTGTATTTTTTATCCGGATTTTGTATATTCTGTCGAAACGCGTTTCTTCTTTTTTTTTTTTTTAGAAAGAATAGTTTCATTTGTACATTAGTTTTTGCTATCTCGCGATTGACATGTATGTACTTACATCATTGACGTCGTCTGTGTCGTTGACGTAGACGATGAAAACGACGAAGATGGCTCAACAGGTATCACAGATTACATTTCGTTCCGCCCATTGAAAACGACTCCCTCTCTCGCCCAACCGTTCCTTCTCCGCTGTTCCTTTTTGTGATCGTTTGAGGAGAAGACAGTCGTAACAACGTGGGGAGAAGGCAAAAGTGTTAAAGACATAGAGAAAGAGGAAGTCGCGTGTTGTACGCGTCTCTTGCGTACACGGCTTAATGTCTTAACGGATTTGCCCTTTGTGTTATCGTCTTAAGCTGCGGATTTACCTTTTCTCAACCGTTTCATCTGTAATCCTCTGTAGTAGATTAATACTGTCTTCTAAGATTCATCGATAACTGATTTCAAGATAGATACTTTCAACTTTTTTTATTCGTCTACTTCGAAAATATCCCTTGAATATTTTCGATAGTAAAATAATCCATTGTTTAATATTCATTAATTCAAATATTAACAATATTTGAGATTAATTTCACTTTTTTTCTCTGTTCTTGTTTCTTTTTTCTTTTTCTTCTGGAAAAATTTCAGAATTTTTTTTATACAACGTCAAAGGAATGATATCGTCTTTGTTGGTAACACGTTCTATTCTCAACAAAGTAGAGGCTTGAAAATCGTCTCATGATAGTCGATACCGCGTTCTATCTCCGTGTAAAGCAACTTCAGTATTCGTTACCTCTTTCTTTTTATCGAAAGAGTAAAAGGAAAGGAAAAAAAAAAACAAAAAGAAAGAAGTTCGTGATGGACAATGAAAGATGGTTGAGTATAAAAAAAGAATGAAAAAATTATCGTACACTGGTAGTCAATAACGGTTCACCAGTCGATTTTACACCGATAGAAAAAGTTAATTTTCATCAATTTCATCCGATAGAATGAAGAATAACATTTGATTACGTATTAGAAATGTATTTATACGTATTTCAAACATGATAATTACTTCGAAGCTAATTAAAGTCCAACGAATTATTATTTAATCCATGTAAATGTTTTTCTGCAATCGTTAATAGAATTATGAATTGTAAAGCATAAATTTTTAAACAATCAAAATAAATACCAATTCATCCGTGTATATGCTAAAACACATCGTATCTTTGTCGAATATAAACATTTACGCTGCACACTTATATCTTTTACAATGAAAATATAATAATTTATAGTAGATGAATAACGAAACTGTTTTTCTTTTCTTTTTTTTTTTTTTTTACTAGTGCAAAATTGATTAATACGTTATTATTGACTGCCAATGTATGTAATTACGTTTATCGTATCGCTTCCATTTCATTTCTTTGACAGAGAAGGAACAAACTTGAGTTTTCGTTATGCTCTTGGCAATTGTCTCACGCGAAGTCGAGAAAACTCGGAGCTTGTTGTTCTGTTGGAGACACTTCGCTGAACGTTGGAATATTTTAGCGAGTTTCATCGACTCTATTTCGTTAATGCTTCGGGTAATTGACTTTATGAAAATGTTAACGGTATCTCATAAAACGTATACTAACGACACGTAATAGTATACGTGTGCGAAAAAGAACACGGTTGAAAATGCAATTTGAAGCGTATAATTTTCGATAAAATTTAACGTTAGAATATATACACACACACATACACACACACATATATATATACATATATACAGATTCTATTGTGTATTGTTAAAACGTGAAGAGCACAAACGAAAAAGCCATTATGTTATTTTTATATGAATTTTGCAATATACTCTCATATGCAAATATAATTGGAATACGCAGAGGCTATCGTTTTTGTCTGTTTATGATGCGCAAGGGTTACGATGAGTTTTCATTATTCTTGGAATATGTTCAAAATATTAAATATTACAATGCATTTCGATCGATATTGCAGTATGAGCCATTTGATATGATGATTCGTAATAAAATGATATCTATCAAATATTAAATGTTATATTGACCTTCCTAAGAAGAAATGATATATTCAAACGACGTTATCTTTTTATCGTATTCTTTTTCCATTCGGATTATATTGATTGTAAGTACGTAAAGTCATTAACGAAAAAGAATGCAAATAAGAGATAAAAAAGGGGGGTAGGTGACAATTGAGCGACAGGTAAAGCTTCAGTCGAGTCGCATTAGGATCGAGAAAAAAGCTAGTTTTTATCGTAATAATATACCGATGGGTTTGTCAGGACGAGGACCGCGGCTCTGAGGTGCTTCAGATTAAGCGTTTGCGTGTCCTCGATGTCGTCATTGTCCTCTGCTAGAAGAGAGCAGGCTATTTGTACGGAGGACTGCCTGGAGGGTTTGCTTCTGTCCTCAGAAATTCTCGTCGACTTGCTAACGGCCCGTTCGTCGTCCGACGGCTCGATCTCCGTGGTGTGTGCTCTTGAGAATGGACATGCCATTTTGAAGGATAGAATTGGATTACCGATCAAAAAAGGTATGTCCGTTGTTCGATGTTGATGACGAACGTCGGCCGTTAATTATCTCGTGACATGCCACGTGCCACGACGCGTTTATCGCCGGTCAGCTGTTCTACGATAACTTTACACGCCTCCACCACTACCGGCAGCTTCACTACCACCACCACTATCAGCAGCAGTAGCACCGCCACCACTACCACCACCACCACCACTACTACCACTACCACCGCTACTACCACTGCCACCACCACCGCCACCGGGGCTGTCTCTAGACTCTACTCACCCCTCTCACTCCAGTTTTCTTTCCGCGCCTTCCTCGATTTTATCGCTTTACCTATCAGTTTCTACTCCTCTCACATCGCGTTCCCCAACGCTACCAGCAATATCACCTCTGAAACGATTCTCTCCACCTTCAAAATACTTTTCATCTTCCTCAATATCGGCATAGTTTTTTCTTCGATTCTAAACTTATTCATTTAAAATCAACGTGGTTATATTTCCCTTTCAAGAGAATTCCAAAGAGAAACAGAAACTGAGAATGTGTGTTTATACTTCAAAGCTGTTAGTTATTACCACAACGCGATTAGTACTCCTTAGAGCATCTATCCTGCAGACCACAGCCTGATTCGACGTTGTGCACGCGGTTTCACGCTAACCACTAAACTCGTGGTCTCTTTGTATACTCGGCTAACCGTTCCCTCCTTTTCAATTCTCAATTGCTCCTCTTATTCTCCTTTCATTGCGTTTCGAGGGTCATCATCAATCGAGATAGGGTCCGTTTAAAAGGAACTATGAACGCTGAAACGACGCGGTTTCAATCGACGAAATGATGACTATTGGAAGTGCTGCAGGGTTGACGCGTCGTTGTCGGGATGGAGGTTAGAATGTCTATCGAACGTGCCGCGTACAATGTCGTGTCGGAGCGCGTAGCGCCATACTGCTCGCGAATTGACCGAGGCGCAACGAACAGCACAGACTCGGTCGCGTTCGGCGATGCTCCAAAGGGTAGGAGAGGGACGCGGGGTGAATGGTTGGCCAAGAGGGTTCGGGGGTGCGGGCTGCTAGCGAGGTGAACAGTGGTGGTGAGACGCCTGCGCTTGTCCGTGTTTTCAGACTCGCGCTTTTACATCCACCCACTCTTCTCTCTCTCTCTCTCTCTCTCTCTCTCTCTTTCTCTCTCTCTTTCTCTGTCTCTTATTCTTTCTCCTTTTCTTTTTTTCCTTTACATTTTTTTTCCTTGTTGCTTTCTTCCCAGACGAAAATCTATCCATTTGCCTCAGACTATTCTCTTTCTCTCATCTTAACTGACCTGCTCCTACCTACTCCTTTCACCCCAATTTATACTCGTACGTTCCATATTCTTTAACATCTTCCTACCCTTTTTTATCTTACTCTCTCGTTTAGAAATAGAAGACCGACTACATAAAACAACCCTTCGATCTACAGAGGCGGCAATGTAAGCAGAGCCTTGTCTGCTATACAGTTCAAAGGTTTCTCAAGGTTTTCCCTTCGAAAGTTGAGCTTCCTTTCGTACTAGATTTCTTCACCGAGCAACGTGGGTATTGTAAAAACGAAAGGATGTCATTTCTCTTTACTCGTACTTTTTCTTTCCCTTTTTCTTTTCCCATGAGAGTGTTTGTCGGTTTTCTTTCTTACGTCGATTAGATATCATAGTTACGTGAACTTTCTTCTATCAGGATTTAGTTTCTAACTTCTTGAATTGTTAGACGTGTCTTGAAGTTGCTCGATTGAAAGATCGATTTCGAAGGAACGCGAAATTGCTTTGAATCGTGACCAACGCAGCCTATTACGTGTTTTCCGAAATAAAACATTTTTCTTTTTTTGAGCGTGCGATCAAAACAATTTTTTTAAAGCAAAAATATTTTTTTTCCTCTTTTCTATATCGGTATTTTGAAGTCAAGTTTTCTCGGATCTATGATCACACTTTAACGTGAACTTTCAATAGATCGAAATCGTTTGATTCCTGTTCTATTTTACGGTCATATCTTAGAGGGTAGATCTTTTGTTAAGAGTGTAGTCTTGACAAGGAATCGATCGGTGCTAATTAGTAACTCGTATTTTTTCTTTTTATTCATTCTTCTTTGGGGAGCTAGCTAGCCTAATAATTAGAACCTTTGGGAAAATTCTGAAAAGATCGTTCCTAAATCTTCCATTAAGAACGATAATAAAGATAATTAGACACTATTCGTATTTCTTTTTATTACCAGTGGCAGATCATTAGAATTATTTTAAAGGATCGTTATGCGTTTTTGAACGAAAAATGTTAACTTTCTGAGTCAAGCTTAGCAGCTTGTAATTTTCTGCAGTAATTATCTATTCGATTGGATCACGCGATAGGTGATGGGATGTCGGATAAAAGTCTAATATAAGCTAAAATCAAGTGTTCAAAAAATGTGTATATATATATATTTTACCTTTCGAATAATCGATTAGAATAAGTATATGTGTAATAAAACTATGTAGAGTGCCTTGCCATATACATTAATGAGCAACAAATAAACGACTCATGCTATGGCATTTTATATAAGTAACAAATAGATAGATAACAGCTTTTGTTTAAAAATTTTTTTGCAACTATCATTTATATTTTATATATTATTGAAAGGTGTTAGTAATTGTTATGAAAATGATAAAGCAAAGAATATCGGTGTCGAGAAATCTTTTAAATAATAATTACGTTGATATTTTATCAAAGTTCAACGAGGAAGCTGACTTCGGTATAATTAAAAAAGAAGTATGCAAGAAAGTTGAAGTTATTAAAGAATTGATTGATAGTTATATAATTATATATTAATTATAAAATATATATAATATGGAATATGTATATATATGATATAGATACATTTTTAATTTTTCCTTTATCAATGCTAATTCGAATTTGTACAAAAAGAAAATTTAATTAACTATTAAAACGTTTTATTTCAAAATTTAATATTTTGTAAATTATGTATATCATACATTATGTATTTATGGAACTTATTTAGCAACTTTATGGAACTTTAATAGGAGAATGTGTGTGTGGAAAACTAACTCTGATATTTGGATCGTTTTTCTAAGGTAAATATGTTTATTGCTAACATAATATTGCTTGTGTAGATTTCTAATCAATTTACAAATTTTAATCAGAGCTTTGTATGCCAATAAGATATATATATATGTATATCATACATTTTTCGTATTATATAATATTATCTAGAATCTTATTTGTTCATTAAGCTTATCGTCGGTTAGATAATTTATTATCTATATAACTATAAAGAGTCAAATGTATTATTTTGTACATTGTGATTATTATTCATTAATATTTCTATTATTTGTTAAATATACTTTTTACATCGACACGTTTATAGGAACATTGTACACAACGTTATCAGTGTTGCAGTCATTCATGTTTGATATATCAATATTTTGAGAAATTGATAATTCATGATATTTGGTTTTCATGTAATGAGTTCTTCCATGTTTACGCATCTGGATATATAATGATAATATTGTAGGAATATTCATATGCAATATTGCGTTTTACTACTCTTATTTTTGTTTTCTTTTCACAAAGAACAAGGAAGAACTCCAGACTATTTCAGTTACGTGAGTTGCATGAGAGAATATTTTCGTTACATTCACTGGCAGTAATCTTTTCGTTTGACTGCGTATTAAAAGGATTGCATTTTCGTCTCGACACAATGGAAAGTGTGTGAAGCTCGGAAGTTAAAGCCTATCTTTTGCTTTCTACTCATGTCACGTCCTAGTCTCATAGATATAGAAAATCAATGATAGAAGAAGACATATCAGCATACATTTTATTTCATTCATATAAAGAATAGAATAGTAAATAATTATTGTAAACATAATGACATATTTATATATCCAATTATGATATGATTTATCGATAGATTTCTCTCCGAAATTACGATGGATCAGTATAATAGTATGTAACTACGTTCGTGAAGAGAGTTATTCTCTTCATTGCAAATAAAAAAAAAAAAAACAAAATATCTTGAAAATTTAAAGTCAGTCATCAACAATGTATTGACGTATATATTATATGACATTATAACTATACATTATATTAATAGAGTGTTGACATAGTGTATTATATTATGCATATATGCGTCATACGTGGAACAAACGAACGAATATAATATGAAATAAGTAAAGGCTAATATGGCCTCATCTTATTTTTCTTCTTAAAAATTGTTACGTTTCGTTCACAAAGTTTTATCAGTTTCTTTTTTTATTCTTTCCTCATTGAGATGACTCGAAACAGTAGAATCGAGTGTAATGGCAATAGCCTTTGTGTAGCGATATTCTCCCATTTCTTTTTCAGCTCGTTCCATTCGAACTGTATTTTCTATAGTTAGGTTGTAGTAATATCGAAGATTCTGTTAGAATCAAAGGCGAACTTTTCTAGGTGAGAATAAGCTTTCAATATCGCTTTCAATCGTACAATAGTAAATTAAAAGAAAACGAATGAAACATTTTTGAATATAATGCTTAATTATAAAAGAATAAATAACAGAAATAAAAATTTCCATAAGAAATAAAAAAGAATTTCTGTTTGGAAAAATATTGACACTTTTCTTATATCAAAGTAAAAATGAAATCTTTAAAAGAATATTTCTGTTGAATCGGCAGGATCATTAAGTATTAAAAAGTGGATCTGTCTTATTCGCGGATAATATTGGATGAAAATAAATAATACACGTTTCTTCGAGAATTGAATAAAGCTTTATTTTCTTTTTATGGTATAGGGAGGATGTTTTGAAATGTTCGCCACCATGGATTGGTAATTTAATATTTATTGTTAGTAACTGTATTCAGCGCAATTTCCAATGCATAGAAAGTGTCACATTTATTCTAGGCTTTCGATCTAATGTAAGGTAACAATTCTTTAGAAGAGAGAGAAAGCTCCCTGAAAGGGCATAACATAAATATAAATCTGGCTTCTATTTCGTTACTTATTTTTCTATTTCAGACGTAACATTGTGCTCGTGAAATTTACAGCTATAGAGAATTTATCGACTTTGCAACTGTCTCGGTGGAACTTGTGAACTTTTAACGACTTCGAAGTTTTCACGGAGAAAATTTTAAATGCACGATGCAATGCCACGGTTGTCACGCTTTCACTTTGCTGATCTCTTAATTTTTGTCGGTGAAAACAACTAACGGAAGGAAGAAAGAAATGATTAACACAATAGAGCAATGGCTACACGCGAAATAAAATTTTTCCAGTCGAATCACGTATATGCTTGCTTCGTGATTAGACGATATTTTATTTGTATTCTCCATGGAATTGTTAGACGTATAATTAAACGATATCACGAATTGGAAGTTTGTTATTACGTAGAAAATCTTTTGCGTATTTTGTTCTCTGTTATATTTGTCATATTTGCCATTATCTCGAGAGTACATATACATATATTATAAATATACAAATTTATATATTATATATACCTGCAATGTATAAGAACATAACATTAGTATTAATGATGTAATGTAAAATCATCTCGATTGAAATTGACAAGATCGATGGCCTCGAAGCTCTGGTTGGAAATAAAGAATAAAAAAAAAGATAAATGGAATTAAACGATTTTCGAGGCGAAGACACTTGAACGGACGGAATGAACGCGCTCGTAAATTCGAGTCGAGCGATGGCAGACTTGTCGTCCATTTTAATTGGAAGCACTAGAGCACCGATTTACGAAGTGGTACCTTCCATTTGCTCGATTAATTTCATCGGCTGCGTAGGAAATTTCATTTTGATGTTCGAACGTATTATGGTGTCGACGATTATTGCTCAGGATTTGTATATTTTGCAAAATTTCAACATGAATACGTATGTAAATAATTTGTAAAATTATTTATTAATAATACGTTGATATACGTTTCTTACATTATAATAATCCATCATTTAAAAATCTTCACGAATTAC